TCAAACGTCTTTTACGCATTTATGTTCGCTATGTAGCTCCTCGTAAATTCATTTTTGTATCATCCTATCGCTTGCTTCTTCTCGCCAGAAATTATATTTTGCAACAAAAAAAAGGAACAAACGCTGTCGTTCGAAAGCTTGAGATTCCGTTGCGCGAGACAACGTTTTGAAACGGTCCGAATGATTTAATATCACGGTTGAACAGTTCAGTTTTAGGCGAATTGTCCATTGTTCCTGAGACGCGAAAGATACGACCAAAAAATTGAAAGGTATATATACGAAATCGTGATATAATTGATAGCGAATTGATACGATAAGATTGAAAATGACGTTCGAACATTTTTCGTAGCTAAATTTCTCGAGATCTCTACGTGTAACCGCTAATAGTGAATCGCGACAGGCTGTGCACCAGAATTGGGCATTATTGTAACGTTCGTTTCTCAAAAGAACATCTCCCAACGCGTCGTTCATTCTTACGCGAAGAACGACAACAACACTTCTGCTCATCGCGCGTTCCAAACGAACTGATAGCGAAACTAATAGTTGTTCGAATCGACAATTCTAATAATAGCTGCAGGAATACTCATCCGTCGGTTTAAAATCGTACATTGCCCAAGTCTGTCTCGTACGGGCCCAGCTCAGAGTCTAAAACGCGCACTGACCGCTGCGACTTCAGTTTTATACAACTACCCGTCTACTGTACTTATATCACTTTCAATAAATCTGCATTTTTTATACCTGACCACCGAATCCTGTCATTCGCAATTTCTGTTTCGCTGCAAACCTTTTTCTTTTCGCGCTCTGCTTCGATCCTGCCCTTGTTTCGCAAAAACATTTTCCCTAGATCGGACGACGCACGGTGGGGTATTCGCCCGATCAGGCCGGCCAAAGGTCTGTTTTAAAAATTTCACTTAAACCGATAAATTGTTGCTGTTTGATATATTTCATTAAATGTGGAACAATGTCCTAGAAGTTTGTTTATGCTTGGAGCACTCGACAAGTGCTGAGCTATCCTGAAAGATAGACGTTTTTCGACTACGCGGTTTATTCTTAAAATTTCTCGCAATAATTTCCATGTTTTGGACAAGTACGAATTTGTCTTCTGTATCGAAGTTTTCAGGTAAGTGTACACTCTACCTTTAATAGTTCGTTATCCTTTTACCGTGAATCGGTATGTAAATATCGACATTTTAACGTGATTAATACATCATCGATATTTCATACAGTTGTACGATTTCACGAATGATTTTGTCATAGATCAGGATGTGTCACGACATTCTTTCAAGCACGGTTGTATTTTATGAGGTTTCAAGATTGCCATCTAAAAATAAAATTCTCTGTATACGTCCGCTTTTTCGTTCTAGAGCAATTTGTTTATCGCGGCGAAGCCACTTTCGAGTCATTAAGGTTTAATACTTCGAAAGAAATTATGTTCCCATAAATTTATATCAGTTTTAACTTCAGCAGTTTTTAAACAGAAATACTGTGATTCTTTAATTTTACTCGTTAGTATAGAAAATTTGCAGAAAATCAATAAATTAAACAATTATATATTATTTATGATGTATTGTTATGTATCATATGTTATATTATCGTATCCTACATCATGTAATATATGATATATAAATATATATTTTCTTATATGTTTACGTGAGATTACATATAGTTTATATTAATAAATTCATTATATCAAAGAGTCGATATAAACCTGTCTTTAATTTTGGCCGCTGAGATCGGGCAAATACTCCACTGTGCGACGAGTCGAATTCCGAGGACAAATAGGAACTGGATGGGCTATTAATAAATCAAGACGTTTTTACATAACATATTCATTGTTTATGATCTCGTTTCATAATATAATATTATCTGCTTTAAACAACACTAATATATATATCTATATATATATTTCTGTATGTTTCTCAATCGTAATCGTAGACCGTCTTGACGGCGCTCTAGTAATTACAAGAAAGAAAGGGGAGGAAGAAAAAAAAAGAAGGAGGAAAATATCGCTAACACGTTTCCAAAAATATGAATATATCTCCTCGCTGTATCACGAAGTCGAACGACGGTCCCATTGCGCGCGTAACAAACAAATTGCTGGTCTGTCGATCCTTTCTCGTCGTTTGCGATTCTCTATTCTCCTAACTCTGGTAAAAAGATAAACGGAACGATAGAAAGGAAAGGAAAAGAAATGCAATGCGAATACGTTCCTCCGGGCTGGCGAATTTTCGAACTGCATCGAGAAACTTCGAGAGGAGCTGGGAAGGAAAAGAGGGGAAAGGACAACGAGAGGGCGCGGACGCTCCGCGATGGCGACACGATGCACGCTCTTCGTTATCGACGAAGCCGCTCGCTGCTAAATCGAATAATATTTCTTTTTCTGTACATCGAATCCGGACATCAGACCTGTAGGAAACTATAATAGATCGAGACCATCGCGGAGAACACTCTCGTATTCCTGAGAATCCCGTGACGCGGGAACATATCTGAGAAAGCGATCGAATCCTTTCGGCGCTGTCTTCTATCGCGATTAGAAATTGTACGAGGCGATCGACGTGTTCGAGAATTATATTTCGATCAACTGCACACATCGGGTGTTAATAGAATACGACAGAATTCTTGATACAATTAAATTATTTCACTTAACCACTTCTTGGGGCCGCCATCTTGACGGGGACGGAATAAGGAATTTTTATCGAAGTATATTTTTTATATGAAACTATGCTCTTATATTAGAAGACTATTTTATTGTAATAGTAAGAGTATTTAAATAAATCTCGCATTACAATAATCACGGAGCTATAAAACGTGTTAAAAATGTCTCCGAGAGACTGTATAATACAAAATTCAACAGATATTAGTTAATAACAATATAAACGACTCTGTTTGAATATAATTCTATGTATAAAACGAGGTTTCAATCGAGAGCATAGTTCGGAAATGCGTAGAGATACTCTCGTCCGCCGCCGTCAAGATGGCGTCACCCGTTACCACTCTGGTGACTTCGATGCTCGGTAAAGCGACATCGTCGGCTTCGATGCATTAAATATATTGGCGATCGATATTTATTTCACTTTCTACAGTTCCGGACTCTATAAAAACAACTTCTTATTACCCTGAAGCTTATGTATCGAAAAAAAATTGTTTATAACTAACATTTTCTCTTTAAAAAGTCGTTGCCCCGGTACAGCCGAGAGATATTCATTCTCCTCGAAAGACCCATCGCTTCCCGCCACGAGACCCTCGATATTAATTCATTAAATCCCGGTGTTCTGTATCGGTGACACTTTCATATCGATTTAGCGTTTATTTGTAAACAACGAAGACATGAAAATAAAATGAAAGCGCCGCCGAAAGAAGGACACCGGATTGACGTTGAGCAGCGCCGAAAGGACTTTAGAAAGCTGAAGAAGCTAACCGATACAGGCGTACCTCGTGTGATAAAACTGAAACAGCTATTAGGTAAATGCTGGTTAATGTCGTTAATTAGTCGAAGAGCGGTAATCAAGGTTTCCAACGGTCGTTACTTTCCTCGCGCGGCGAGCCAAAACCGTCCCGGCGCGAGGTGTGTAACGGAACAACTTCTCGTATGTCAACAATAACATTATATTCGTCGCTAACCTAACTAG